CCACCAGGAGACCCCAAGCTATAGATTAGATTAGACTGGAAAGGAATTTTTTTTAAAAATCCTCCTGGAAGTAGGCAATACAAATCATTCTGTATTGCTGCCAACAAAACTACACAGACATGTTTATGTAATCGTTAGGAGCTGAGTTCAACTCAAGTGAGATTTGGGTCTCAGAACATGAAAGACACTGTACCTCATTCACGTCTTGCAGAAAGGTGAATCTTGCAGTTGAAGACAGTTACCTGGGGTCACACCTAGTCCAGCCATTTTGAGCCTCATTTACGGGTGGGTTGAGACTGTGGCAGGAAGTGTTCCTGCAGTTTACAGGCTGTCAGAGAATTCTAGTCCCAGGAGCAACTTCTGATAGCAATCAGGCTTTGAGTGTGCAAGCCTGGCTTATGTATACACAACTAGATCACTGCCAAACGTTGCTTGCATTCTGCCCAGAGAAACTGAAAGACCTCTTGTCTGGGCAGAGCAGGGGACCTCTCTGTGCATGGCATGATAGTTGTATTTATGGAAAGGTGTGTGTGTGTCATGCCAATTCACTGTTTATTTTAGGGGATCATGGTAACAGTTTGAAAAAACCTAACTTAAAATATTGCATGACCCCAGCCTGCTACAGGCTTAGTTTCTGAATCATGGAGTTGTTAAAGGGCACAAAATAATTATGCAAATTGGCCTGCTGTACCCATTGGCCAATCATTTTTCACTTTCTGATACACTATCAGGGCTGCAAAACAATGAACCAACACTAGAGGGCAGCATGTTAGAGTTTGCTGTAACTCTTTGCTTCCATCTAGTGGTCACTGTGATGTTTGCAGCCCAGATATGGTAGTCCTCCCCTCTGAATCTTCTTTGCTCTTTTAGGTTTGGATCTCTGTGTGATCTGGACTAGGAATTCCCTTCTAGCATTTCCAAGTGATCTTTACAGCAGGGGTAGGCAACCTTTTCATGACCAAATGCTGCCCTTAACATTTCTGGGCAGCCAGTGGCCTCAGTTGACAGGGTCACAATTAATGGTGTAAATGGGTGAAGCTGGGGTTCAACATTTTTCTTTCTTTTTGGGGAATTTGAGGGTGCATGTGGTTTGATTTGGTTTAACTAAATTAAGCTTATTTTAGGGCTTAGATTACTATTTTGGCCTGCTTGGCACCTTAAAATGGCAGGTAATTTGGCCACTAATTTTTTACCTTTGTGCCAAAGATGCTGGCAAGAAGAGATTACTAAAGGGATCAGGAGCTGCACGCACCCCCTAAAGGCATCCACCCAGTTTCCAAGTAATTAACCAAACCTCTTAGCTAAAGTAGCTGACACCATCCGCATTGGACCATGGTATTTTCTTGCTAAACATACACTTTCAGATGTAAAATGGTGTCTTGTTTTATTCCAGATGACAAACCATTGGGATCAATTATTTGGGAAATGCTGCTTCAATTCATCCATGATCCTTTTTACACATATTGAAGTACTTACTTGCATTTTTATGTTTTGATGACATTTTACTGGTGCAACAGTTGGCCGCTCAGTCGTTAAGCATGAGATGCAGCAAGCTGTAAGCATGAGGGAAGGAAGCTGGAGCTGTTGTCTGCCTTTGGGGAAAGCAGCTGCAGCCAGGCTGAAAAGCCTCCCACCCCCACTTCCCCAAGGATAGGTCGTCCTTCTCCCAAAGGGCAGTAAAGGTTTACAGCCCCAGAAACTTGAGAGGAGATGGGCTCATTCATGCAGTCACTCATTCATTCATTCATTCATTCATTCATTCATTCATTCATTCATTCATTCATTCATTCAACCTTCCCACTCCCTCACTCAGTTTACTCACAAGCATCCACACCAGCGTTCCAGGTGTCTGGTGAGTTACATTCTGGCATGTTTAGGAATGTGCCAACATCCATAGACAGCTTCACACACACACACACCCCCCCAGATCCTTAGCCTACAAAAGTGTGGGTGTGTAGGAGAGAACAAGAACAACACCACAAGCAGATGAAGAAGTGGGAAATGACGTCTAGAATGTACGGCTATTACAGGCAAGCAAGAGAGCTATCAGTCAACTGCCAGAACCACAAGCTACTTTACAGACTTTGAGACTTTTGTTTGTTACAAGGACTGAGTATAAAATAAATATTTACATGCCAACATCAACTTGCAAGGCTTAGAAGGGTGGCGTTAACCCAGAGCCACAGCCTATTGTTGGGGAACGGGGGTGCCACAATAAAGCTTTGTGTACAGTTATCTGTTACGCTGTGGTGTGTCCAGTCCTTGGAAAACAAAGAACCTTCTCAGCAAGATTGAATCTTCAAGTATTATAAGGCAGCTTCTCCTCTAGCTGCTTTTCCTGAATCTTTGGAAAGATTAGAGTGCCAGTGCTGCTTCAAATATTGTATTAATATTTGCAATCTCTGTAGAAATCTCTCAGCCTGGTTGAAGTTGAAGCTCTTCAGGAGCTGCTGCTCCCTAGGAGTCACTGGCTTCTATACTGCCTCTAAACTTGAGTTCCAGCTTGCAGCCCAATGAAGACCACAGCCAGGGATACAGGGAACTTAAGGTATAATGGCCAAATCATGAATCAATGGTTCTGCCAGATGTGTGCTATCCAAAGGAATGGTGCTGGAGAGCTTTAGATCATCCAATACCTGTATTTTTTTCTCATTGTGGGCACTGAGTTCCAATAGCAAAATAACAAGAGCATCATAGGTTCAAGATCTTGCCAGGATTAACCTTCTTCCAGAGATGTGAAATTACAGCCTATCTGACACTGAGATACTTATTTTCCAAATATTAGTAGTCCTCAACTTACGACCATTCATTTAAAGACCGTTTGAAGTTATGACAGCCCTGAAAAAAGTGATTTATGATTGGTCCTCACACTTACAACCGTTGCAGCATTCCCATGGTCACATGATCAAAATTCAGGTGCTTGGCAACTGGCATGTATTTACAATGGTTGCAGCTTCCCAGAGTCATATGATCGCCATTTGCGACCTTCCCAGGGGGCTTCTGACAAGCAAAGTCAATGGGGGAAGCCAGATTCACTTAATGACCATGTGATTCACTTAATGACCATGGCAAAAAGGTAATAAAATTGGGCATGACTCACTTAATAACTGCATCACTTAACAACAGAAGTTCTGATTCCAATTGAGGTCATAAGTCGAGGATTACCTGTATTTGTCTTCTCTCCTTTAAAGGTATTGATTTAGTGGCCATTTTGTGGCAAAGATTGTCATAAAAATTATGTATGTGAAGCATTGTAGTTTAGGTATTAGGTATTGGACTTGGAGGATCAATATTCAACAATTCCTGGGAGAACAAAAAATAGGAATAATGCAATATGCACCAATCTGAGCTCTTACAAGGGAGACCTCTGAGTCTACTGCTAAGAAATTGCATTGGATGACCCTCCACCTCAATTTTTTGTATTATAAAAAGAAGAAAAATTATCTTGATCCAATTTCTATTTCCCTTCTTTGCTATCTCTCAGTATCTTATCCAGCTCCAAAATAGAACTTGTCTCTGTAACTGGTTTATGAATTGGACAAAACAAAAGAAAACCAAAATTATGGATTTGCTTCTTTAAACATCTGCACCTGAATGATTTACATGCACCATTTTATGCATCTTGCAGCTGAAGTTAAACAGACTGATGCTTTTATTTTAAACATTGGAATGCTTTATCAGCATTCACATCCCAAGTTTTTCAGCTCAGCCTGAACTGAAGCCCTAACATCTAAAGAATCCTGGACATTCTTCTGAACACTTTGAAATACAGGTGGCAGAAAGCAGTTAAGATAAGTGGCTTCATATATTCAAAAGATAACTGACTACAGTAATGCAAGAGACACCAAGACCTGTTTCATCTGAGATTTGAAGGCTGTTTTCAATAACTCATCCTTGTATATTAAAGAAAGATTATGCCTTGGGATGTATTCTTTGATTTTATTCTTAATAAAACTGTATCTCCAATAGCACCTTTTGGTTCCCAGCTCTCTTCAACTTTGTACTTTCCTACGAGTGGTGATAAACAAGTGATGATGCAGACTATTTGCATATAGCAGCTAAGCTTTGACTGGTTTAACTATTAAAAGCATCAACTCGTAGCTTACCCCAATCTATGTGTGGCTTAAACAATCATAGCCCCAAAAGTTTGAAGGGACCTGATGTCCAACCCATATGTAAGGCACTAGATGAGGAAGGCTTCTACAATGTGAACAAGGACTTAATGAGAAGATGGCTCTCTGAAACTGACAGGGAAGTTTGCAACTCAGCTCTTGCCATTTAAAACTGTAAAGTGCAATTGCATCACCCAAGATCAGACAGGATCTTTTCACCTGGCAAGTTGAGTCCCATGTTCCTTGTATATCCTTAGCAACCTTCTCCAGTGCATTGCCCCCAGGAATTATTGGATGTCAATGATTCCACATTGGAATTCCACTGGCATGGCTAATATTTTTGTACCATATGAGCTGCAGCCCAAAACATTTAGAGGGCCCCATGCTGGGGAACAAGTGGGATCCTCAAATTGTTCTCGATTCTCTCTCTCAGGAAGCAATGGAATCAGGAAAAGATCCCAACTCATTTTGCTTGTTGTTGCCTACTGGGATCAGAATGTCTTCCTCACTTTTAGGGTGAAAATAGAGCATTGGTAGGCAATGTATGGACTTCCAGATCTGTTGGACAGCAATCCCTGTTGACCATGCTGGTTAGGATTGATGGATTAGAACTTTTGGAGAGGTACCTGTTGCCCATCTGATGGTAAAGGCATAGGGAAAAAATCAAGGATGTGCCTTTCTGATGGCTTCTCATATGCTGCTGCAGCTGTTATGGTTTTAGATGTTATGAAAAAATAATTATGCCCCACACAAAACAGTGTTACCTTTTTCCTGAGTGGAAGTTTGCAGGGTCAGCAAAAGTGAAGGGGATCCAATAAAGTTCTTGATTTCACATAAATATTTTAATAACATCTCAAATACAAGAACGTATTGTAACAGTTAACCAAGTACCATGTTAGAAAGGGATATTGCATTAGAACACTGTGGTAGAACACTGACAAATCTCTGCATTCCTCTCTTAGTCATTAGTGATACAACATAATCAGAGAGGCTGCAACCCAGAATGAAGTTTGCTGAGCAAAGGGAACAGCCCTTTGTCTACTCACATCCATTCATACTTACTTACTGAATCTTACAGAAATGATCTGTGGACCAAAGTGCATGTTTGTACCAAATACTCAGTAAATTAATCATTCAGCCTCTATGATTTAAGGTGTCTCAGAACTGAAGGATTTCCATTAATGGCACTTCATTGAACATCTTGTTGCATTTGCAAAACGTATTTTCCAGTTTTGTTTTTTGCATGTTTTTGCATTGCTAATGACAATGTTTGAAAGAGAGACAATGCTGCCACTAAGAAACAGAAATCAGAGGAAAATATATCTGGTATTATTCAGCAGTGGCAGCATTGCAAAGCATAGTGCAGCTTTTGGCAACCTGGAGCACATCAACTATGTTGGGGCTGAAACTCCCACAATTCCCAGGGAGTTGTACTTCCACCATACCTGTCTTGGAGCGCAAACTAAAAGGTCTCAGAAACAGCTGGATTTAGTGCAGGTGTGTGTGGTGGGCCAGCAACTGCACTGTGGTCAATGGAGCAAAATTTTACAGCTGCCCAAAATAAGGACTGCTGTTTTGATGTTCTGTTGGAGAAGCTGCTGGTAAGAGGAGCCACAATCTCCCCAGACGTTTAGACTCAAATTCCCATCAGCCCAAGCCAATGGCCAGGGACAAGGGGAACCAGGATCCACCAATGTCTAGAAAGCCACAATTTCTCCAGGCTTCGCCTGCAGAATTGCACTAAGCCTGGGCTCTGCCTTACTTAGTTACAGGAGAAGCTGAATTAATGTCAACTGAGAATTGTAGATTCATCTGGGTCCCTTGGGGTCATTTGAATTTGTTTTTTTTTTTTTTAAAGAATGATCAGTAGTGGGACAGAGAAAATTGTTACTCAGATCTGTGTGATTGCTCTTAAAGAACTCCTCTTGGCTGAGGAAGGTTTCCTCACAACCTCCTCCTTCTCTGTGATCACGTATCTTTCAAAGGGAGGAGGCATATGGGGGGAGGAGGCGCTAACTTGGCTAGGAGAATCTGTTTCGTGGAGTTAATCACTGTACAGCCACACAGCTATTCATATGCATAATAAACTTCTACACAATTGCTCTGTGGGTGCAGAGAAAACCACTTCTGTCAAAATGCATGCACTGAAAAAAAAATTAGGTGACAAGCCACCGATAGCATTGATATAGAGATATCTGCACCACATATATCATGCTATTAACTCATTGGTGTGACAGCCAAAAGTCGTGCATATATCACACAGACCTAGTCTTATGTGATTTACAGTTCCCACAGAATTCAGGGAGGAACTGGATTGAGAAGCATTTAAAAAATGTTCCCTTTTGAAAAGGGATAGCAAAAGGAATGGTGGCAGATAGTTTTCTTACTTGTCTTGGGAACACCAAAAAGAACAGCCAGTAATACATGCAGAGACACACAGACACATTATATCACAGCATGAAATCCCATTTGTACTTATCTGCACTTTCTTCTGCCTTGATTAGCAGCAGACATACATAAGCATTCTGCCAGTGGGTTGTGGTTGGGTTCCAAAATCTGCTGTAAAGTGTGTGAGTGCCCACAAACACTCTTCATACTGTTTCTCATTTACTTCTTGCAGCTGGAACCCATTATTCTCTCCTATTATCCCTATTGATCCTTCGCCACGCACTTTCCTTTAGCAACTGTCAAAGCAAATTGCTTCATGTCACGCATGTACCCCTGCCCATGCTTTGAAGGATGGGGCCCTCCAAAGCATCCGTTGTTCAATTCTTTGCGAGGAGGAGAGGGGAATGGCTCCCCCCCTCTTTTCACTGAAACTACAACAGATAAACATGCATGGATATTTAACATTAGTTTTCACAGCAGTAATGGTTCACAGGAGCTAAAGTTGTTCAGACTTGTTAGGTCTGAAATTTTGCATTTTTCTTTGCACATTGAAGGCATAATTGGGCTGTAACTGTTCATCCAGCCTTCCAATTTTTCATCAGGAACTATTTTCTCTACATTGATTTCTTGTATGCCCTAGCTTTCTTTTTTTCTTTCTTTTTATTGATTTGTTGTAGCCCTTTGTTGTAATGGCTCTTTTGTTTGCCTTCCTGGACAAGGAAATAGAAAGACGGGATAGAAATCCAATATAAACATAAATATAAGAGGCAGGTTCAGAAATAGACAGAGTCACCGTCATGCCACAAAGCAAAACTAACACAGGAGCTGGCTGCTGTTGCAGATTCCTGAGTATGTACACCATCACTGGGGTGAGGCAAATGCAAATAAAACTTTTTCCAAACTGTTTCTGCTAATCCATACAAAATATAACGCTTTCCATAGCAAGAGCTTTTGCTTAGCACATGCTTCTTGGTATCTGCGCAATATTGTTTGCAAGGCCTTTCTTCATTGTGCCCAGTTCCCCTCTCCCCCCACCTCCCATTCCCAAACTGGGACAAAACAAAATCCAAATTCTGTACCCCAATCCCCTGTATATTCATTTTTAGTGATGAGAAGAATATAAATTATCTTAATTAATAAATAAGTAACTCAGCACACCACCCAACTGCGAAAGGGATAAGCAGAATAAATGATGCAATCTTAAATGTAGGGATGATATTCCAGTTTATCTAATAAACAAATGAGCAAAGTAAGCAGATGCATTTTCCCCTAAGCTGGAAAAGAAGTGTGTCATTTCTTCCACTTAGAACTGCTCTGCTTGCCAAGGTTGAGAACCTTGCCATGGTTTTGAAATGAGTTATTAACCCACTCCATATGGAGATGAGGGGATTTCTGATTATTTAATATATGTAAGAACATGCAGATACAACACTATTTTTCCAAATATGACTGTGTTTCAGCCAAAGCTCATTATCCTTGCCTGAAGAACACTGGGGTGAATCATCTCAGGATCTTCAAGTTATGTATTGCTGCTCTTACTTCTAAGATTCTTCCCCTCTAGTATCAATTAGTGTAAGAAGAGGTGGTCCTTATACCCTGCCAGATTTACCTGCCTCCACAAGACACAGAGATTGCTATTAGCAGCACCATCATCCAAGGTTTTCCCTTTTCTCAGACCAGTTAGTAGGATACCTTACACTGTAGAAATCTAGCGGAAAGGCAATGGCTAAACCTTGTGATCATACCGAAGGGCAGCTTTTACTGCACCAGAGGAACACGAGATGGGATGACACAGACAACTTCATATGCTCCAGGTTCCTAGAAGTTAAACCAATAGGATCATATTTTGGGTCTACTGCATAGAGTGGACTAGGTGAGTCTGCAGACTTGAAGTCTAGATACCTGTGTCAGTATCTCAGTGAAGGAAGGCCTTAGAAATTTATGCTTTGTTCCCAAAGCCTGTTACTATATTCATTCCAACCAATGTATCTATAAATAACCTCTCATCTTCTATCATACATAACTCGGTACCTGCAGCATTGCCAATCAAACTCTGAGTGTAGCAGCTGGGGGCAGTTTGACAACTGAAGCACTGGCAGTCTTCGCTTTCCTGAAAACCATTGGTTCCTGGCCTCTTTTCCCCAGCTAGAATTGATGATCACTACCACAGTAAGCTGCTAACTGGTTGGTGTCATCTTCCTGTATCTCATATAGAGGAAGCATTCTTCATGCGCTGATGGCATTTGCAACATCTGTGAACACAAGACGACTGGGTCTCTGGAGAACACCTTGATTTGCCTACAACAAAAGCAAAAAGATGGGGGTGGGGAGAGAAACAGATTTGCAAGGAATGCATGAATATTTTACCTTCATATGACTCTCCCAAGATTGCAAAGTATTGCACAAAATACATGCCACCACTGGATTGATAGAAATAAAACTTGGGAACGAAAATCCTGTTCACAGAAGCATATCCCATATTTTTAAAGATGCATTTTAGCATTGTGTACGTAGAGGTAGTTCTCAGGTTACAACCACTCATTCAGCGACCGTTCAAAGTTACAATGGTGCTGAATTAGGGGGATTTATGACAGGTCTGCTCTGTAGCGACTGGCCACAGCACCACCTACCCACCTGCCTGCAGCAACCCTCCACCTACCTTAGCACCTGCCCACCACACCTACGTACCTGCCCATGCTTTGTAGTGCCTGCCCGCGGCACCCGCTTGCCCCCGGTGGCACCTGTGCACCTGCCCACACTCCGTAACGCCTGCCCGTGGCACCCACTCAGCCACCCACACTCTGTAGCTCCTGCCCGTGGCACCCACCTGCCTGCCCATAGCTCTCACCACCAGCTTGCATGCCTGGCATTCCCACCTCTTCCCACATCATAGTCACATGAGGTCCTCACTTAATGACCCTCACAATCCTGGTGTTACGACAACAACTGGGAGTGTCAGGAATGCCATCGCTAAGTGTGACATTGCACGTTAAAACCGCATTGCTTAGTGATGGAAATTCAAGTCCCAATTCCCATCGTAACCCAAGGACTACCTGTAGTAATAAAAATCAATTTGCAACTCATCTTTCACTCCCTTAGCAAGATGGAATCATTCAAACAAATATTAAGAAGGAAAAAAAAGGAAAACTCAAAATCAGATGCAGAGTTTGGAACTGCTAGGATGAGTTTGTACACAGTACTTGTCTAAGTCAATGTGAGACCTAGTACTGCATTTATACAACAAGCTCATCTTGGTTAGTTTTAGGGGTATTGTTTGGACAGTTTATTGATTATTATACTTGATGTATTTGATGTAGTTATCTAATCTAAAAGTGTTTTCTGTGAATAAAGCTCTAATGTCAAGGCTTTGGACTTGGATCCTCAGAACAGAAGATAAGGAAGAGAGGGAGATAAAGAAGCACGCATAGAAATTTCCACAGGAAGACCTATCTTGACTATGACTCTCCATAGAGGGGTCCCAGGATCTGGTAATACTGACATCTGTATTATATATTATAATAAACTGGTATCTATTTCCTAATGAGGTAGCAGCCCTATCCTCTTATCCCCATTCTTCTTCTAGGATGGGAGGGCTTCTCACTGTTCCTCAGCCATGCCAAAACCAATATCCAGAGGAACAGAACTCAAACCCTTTAAATCACAACAGCATTCCACAGGAAATAAGAGGGAACAGAAATTTTTGATTCCAAGGCTATTCAAGCTGACCTTTTGTTCCAAAAGTGTAGTCCTCCAATATTTGCTCTGCAGTGGGGCTGAGGAACTTGTGGCCCTCCAGATGTTGCAGACCTTTAACTCTTAGCTTCTCACAACTTTGGTCATACCAGTCAGATCTTCTGGAAGTTGGAGTTCAGCAACATCTGGAGGTTCATCATCCATGTTCTAATGGGAATTAACTAAGCTTCTGACTTTCTGCTGCTGCTGTTCCATTTCTGTCAGAACTAAGCAGTAAAGCCTCTAATATTCTGGCCCTGAACAGCTCTACTATACCCAAATCTTCCCAGGGTATCTACCCTTCAAAGTATAGCTGCTGTGTGTAAAAGGTAGGACATTTCCACATTTCTTCTGCCCTCAGCTTATGAAGCCATTACAACTCACAAGAACAGATCTACTGAATGAAAGAAGATCCTTCCAGCACAAACATTTCAAGGACTATAAGTGTTAGATCAATTCTCCTCCAGATTCTCTTATTCTACTTCACATTTTTATTTGAAAAAAAAAATCTAATTCTAAAAATGGCAGTATGACAACAGCTATGGCTTCAAGTCTAGGAGACAGAATCTCACCAACATTTAGCCTACAAGCATCCCCTCAAGCTAGCCTTCCAGATGTATAGGACTTCAACTCTCACAATTCCAGCCTGCTCAGTGCCCTTGCTAGCAGGGATTTATGGGAGCTGAAGTTCAGCATATCTGGTACGGCAGTAATGCACAAATTTTCCAGGCTGAGGACCATGCTTGTTCTTTGAGTAGCTTGTCAGAGGCTGAATTTCAAAAGTGAATGAAGGAAGGGTCAGAAGAAAAAAAACATAAAATCTAATTTGATTTGTTTGATCAATTACAATCAAATATGTAGCTACTCTCCAGTCATGTGTTTACTCACTGTCTCTTCCTGTCACATTCCAAATTACAACTTCGTAGTAACTTTTGGCAGTCTCTGAGGCCACACACAAGCCTCAGGATTTGAGGGTAGGAGAAGCTGCCTTAGAAGTTTAACTGATTTGGCAGAAAGAGCGTTACCTTGCTCTGGGCAGCCTGCACAGAAGCAGCGTCTCTGCCATGCTCCAGCAGCTCTTGTTCCAGCTCGTCTTGTTCTTCAGCAGGATCAAAGTTGTACATGGGCATGAGCTGGTGTCGTAGCTTTTCCAGTCTACCCGGGAAACAGAGCAAGAGAGTGAGTTCCACTATAGGAAGCATCAAACCAAGAAAAAATTAAAACTTTCCCGGATTTACTCAGCAACTATTTGGGAACCAAATCTCCTGGGCAGGGACCATATATCACATGCATATCAATGCACTGTTACATTTAACATCGGAAAGGGCATCAGTCTCTGCTGCTTCAAATGTGAAGATTTTGGGGGGATATTTCTGGAAAACAGAAACCAGCAAGCGATAAAAAAACTGCTTAACTCATATGTACAGAACACTTACCGTTTTCTCTTCCGAATATACAAAACCTAGGGGAAAAAACAATAGAAAAACATGGTTGCTGTAAGTATATTTTCAGCAGGACCCACTGCACTTGAAAAAGGGAGAAGTTGTGTAGTTGTTAAGGGGTTAAACTAGCATTAGGGTTCTCACATGACCTCAGCCATGAGAGCTCACTGGGTGACTTTGGGCCAATCAATGTCTCTCAGCACAATCTGCTTCATGGCGTTGTGGTGGGGAAAAATAAGAGGAGGAAATGCTACGTATGTTGCTTTGAGCTCTTGAACAAAAAGACAGAATATAAAATAAATACATAAATAAATTTACACAAACGTATGAAAACAGCAATAGGATCTGGGAATACGTATGAATTAATTTATTAGATTTACTGTATATCACCCCTTCTGTACAGGAGCTCAAGATGATACTCCCTCCTCCTCTTGTCCCCACAACAGCAACCTCTTCAGGAAGGTAGGCTGGGCTGAGAAAGAAGGCTGGTGAAAGTCTTCTAGTGGACTTTTGCAGTGGACAGTGGACTAGAACCTGGGTCTTACCAACACTTAATACATCATACTGGCTCACTTTAATGCATTTAATTTAGGTAATAATGTATAGTGGACTTGCATATGGGGGAAAATGATGCTGTCACCCAGTTCTCATCCTTAACAACAGTGAAGGAATGATTTGAGATCTTAGCATAAGTATTCTACTAAATAGGCAAAATATTGGCCAAAGTATTGTTCATGCTTCTCTGATATGCACACACAGGCATAGCATCTTCTTTCATTCCAGATATTTATATAATTTAGAAATGTATACATATATTTTATTTATAAGAAATGGATATTTATACAACTCAGAAACTATTTATATATTTCTATTTATTATTTATAAGAAACTGTTGGATATTTACGGCATGTGTGATATTATTTGCTTTCAATTAGCTGGCATGATCTTATTTTATGAATTCATATGTGTGTAAACGTGTGCGTGCTTTACAATGAGTGAAATTTCACACAAGCCAAATGTGGAATTGCAATATTGATAAGGCCCTACTGAAACCAATGTGAAAATACGGTTACAATTAACAACTGATTTCAGTTAGAATTAGGTGCGGCTAATTTACAGATAATCGTGAATAAGAGTATTGGGAATCAAGTCCCCTGCACTGAACTGTGTATGACTGCAATCTTAAATTGCAATGTACACTTAAATGGGGATCAATCCTAATTAACATGCATGGGATAGTATTGTAACTTTGTAGCCAGATACATATTTACAGGTAGTCCTTGATTAACTACTGCCCTGTTCAGCAACTGTTCAAACTTACAATGGCATTGAAAAAGTAGTTTTACAACCAGTCCTCGAATTTACAACAGTTGCAGCATCCCCAGTCACATGATCGTGATTCAGGCGCCTCACAACTGGCACACATTTATGATGGTTGCAGCGTCCTGCGGTCACGTGATCACCATTTGCGAACTTCACAGCTGGCTTCCCACAAGCACAGTCGATGGGGAAGCTGGTAGGAAGTCATAAGTTGCGGTCATGTGATGTCAGGTGGTGATTCGCTTACAACGCAGTGGAACTGAAGTTGTAAGTCTGGGACAGTGATGTTTCGATGCTTAGTGATGGAATGGCCGGTCCCAACTGTGGTTGTTAAGTGAGGACCACCTGTATTAATTCATTCATTTAACATAATTTTACTGCCTTTCAAAATAGGCTTTTGAACAGTTACAAGATAAAATGATAACTATCTAAAACAACTGATGGAAACAGCTGTACTGAATGTTTCCTATAACTGTGATACTTTACTAAATAATCACTGGCATCAACAGACTAAGTTTTTAAAACAAATCGAACCAGAGGGAGGCAATCCAGCATATCCTCTCTTAAAATGGAGCCACCACAAGAAAGCCTCTGCCTCTTTTCAGAGATTTTATTGACAGGGATATGAGCAGCGACTACCTAGTCAATCCTGAGTAGGAAGATACAGGTGTAGGCAAGCCTTCAAATAACCTGTAGAAGTCTGTTTACAGCTATATCTGTTTACCTAAACCATGTATTAGTTTAGCAATTATTGCAAAGGAATTGCAATTCTTTGTTAAGGCAAGGGCTAGAGTCCTCCCACACAATTTTAGAAGCCTTAAGCACAAGAGGTAAATTGGCATAAAATTTGGCAGTTACATTCCCAAACATAGTCCCAGGTCTTACCACTGCTACTGCCAACCCAATAACAGTAATGATGCCAAAGGATAACAGCATGGTCCCCATGGCCGGGCCATTGCTGGCCACATCTGGAATTTTGGTGCTGTTAAAGCTGCTGGGTTCAGATGTCATTGCAGCAGTTTCTGATCGAGTCCCGTCAACAGTTGTCCCATGGTCTGGCTCAGTCCTGGTAGTGCCACTGTGGTACAGATTGCTTACAGTGGGTGTTCTGTAATTCATCTTGAACCAGAGTGTTTTCTTTCTTTTTCGTTTGTTTGAATGATGGCTTCAACCACAATGTTCTTCTTTTTCAGCTATGAACTCATCATATCTCTTCTTCTGTCAGTATGGGAAAGCTTTTTCTCTTATTACCTTTAATGGCTCTTCTGAAATGAAGTCTTGTTGACTAATGCCTAGGCATAGAGAGAAAAAAGGGGATAATTTGTCTCCCAAATTATCTTGCACTGAAGAGTAAACATTTCTGTATCCACACCACAGATGCAAACTTCAGGAGGAGGCTCTTTGCCTAAAGTCAAGCAATTCTATTCATAGCCAAGATGAAAATTGCATTGGGGACTTCCTAGCTCATAAGCACAATGCAACACTAACAGTGTAATTCCATTCCTCTGTTCAGAAGTCCTGCTGGATCCTCTTTTGCTGGACCAACTGATGCTCTCCTCTTTCCAAATAAACTTTGTCTGAGGTTCTAATTATAATGCCAGGGTTTGCACTAATGTTATGGAGTCATGATCCTATGCTCAACCAGTAAATAATAGCTATAAAAGCAAATGATGACAAGAGTGATAAAGACATTTCACAAGTTATTTTATTATTAATTTATATCTCACTCTTCCTCCAAGATGCTCCGGGGAACATAGCATTCTTTCTCCTGAATTTTAATTTGACCACCTAGTGAAGCAGGGCATGCAAAAAGAAAGCAACTACTCTAAGGTCTGTTGAGATTGTTGGTAAGCAGGGATTTCTTGTGTCAAGTGATCAAAGGTCTAAGAATCAGAGAAGAGACAGTAAGGAAATCAAGAGATCTATTATTGATAGATGTCTTTTCTCCTGCAGCTAAGATGAACCAATTTTTCAATTCAATTTTCTCCTGTAACCAAGATGGACAGTAACGGTCTGGGAGAATGTCCTTGAGAGACAGGAGGAGGAGGAGCTGCAAACTAGGCAACAGTCAGATAAGAGGCAGCTGAGCCTGCAGAAGGAATGGAGGCATGGCAAACGTCTCAGAAGGCCGCTCCCTAGTTTCTTGGGCTGTAAAGGCGAGGGGGGAGAAATGTACTTTCAGACTTGCAAGATTCGGCTACTGTAACCTTACAATAAAGGTAGTATCAGTATTCATGGTTGGTGCTTCTTGTCTGGACTACCTCTAAGGGCTGACATATACAGTGTATTCCTTTGGGTGGGAGTTAAAGGAGCTCTGAAGACTTTTAATATTTCCATTATGTCCTATCAGTGCATTTACAGTTACCCAAACCAAGCCAATCACTCACAGAGGAAGATAACTAACCTGCTAGTATGATGTGCATTTTACCAGGTTGCTAGAATTTGCAGGTGAAATACTGCAAAAGTATCATCTGAGTAGGCTTAGGGTGTGATTAGGTTCAGGGAAAGGGAAATAAAGGACATGTAACTGGATTTATTACATTATTTGATTGCCCTGTTATAGATTTTGTTTCTTATTTGTTGGGTTTTTAATAGGATTTAATTTTATTTTTGTCTATTAATACTACCAATAGAGGCAAGGCTAACAGCCCAGAGAGCCCCAAATGATCAGCTAGATACCATCAGCTGCAGCCTTTCTTCCTTGGCGAATTTAAAAACCATTTTATTGTCAGAGTGATTGGCTAGGCATATATATGATTAAAAATGCTTGCTGTATTTTAATGTAAATACAGTTTTTTAAAACAAGAAAATGATGCATTTTCTATTCACGCAAAGGAGGCCTGTTTAAAGATCAAGACAGCAAAAGCAAATTTAACAATAGAATATGCTCGGTGTATTTCTTATCTGCACAGGTATAAAGCTACTTTCTTTGATATGATCTAAAGAGATCACCTGGGAAGCAGTTATAAAGCACAGGATGATGGGAAGGATGCAATAAGGAGAAAAAAAATGTTAGTCATGCACTTTGTAACTTAAATAATACATGGCTATCTTAAAGGGCTTACAAGAGCTTTACACAGTTTGACTGATTATGTGTCAGCAAGTCATTCTCTGGGATGATCTGTCCCCAACCAATTGTGTACCCATTACCACTGTAATCTATCCACCTTGCTGTTGGCATCCTCTTGTTCTCTTACCTTCCACTATTTCCAGCATTATAGACTTCTCAAGAGAGCTAGGTCTTCACATAATGTGTCTAAAATAGGATAATTTGAGTTTGGTCATTTGAGCCTCAAGCAAGAAATCTAGGTTGATTTGTCTGATGATCCATTTGTTTGTTTTCCTGGTTGTCCACGGTATTCTCAGGAGTCTTCTCCAACACCAAAATTCAAAAGCATCAATACTATCCTTCTTCTTCAAAGTCCAACTTTCATAGACTCACAGGGAAAACCACTGCCTGCACAATTCTGATCTTTGGGGTAATAAACACATCATAGTATCTATTTTTGCCAAGGCCTTCAATGCTACCCTTCCAAGTGCTAGTCTGTGATGATTTCTTGACTGCTTGATTGATTCACTGTTAATTCTAAGGCTGACTGCTGTATTGGTTGTCATTAGTTTGATCTTCTTTATATTTAATCACAGAGCCTAGAGCCAACCTGTTTCACATCTTTTATCTGGGCCATGGTTTCCTATTCTGTGTACAGATTTCTCATGAGGACGATGAGATGTTCTGGAATTCCCATTTTCCAAAGGACACTCTACAGTTTGACATAATTGACACAATCAAAGGCCCTTCTATGAAGCACATACTGCCTTTTTTGGGGGGATTTTTTGTGCATCAGCAATAATGTTTCTTGTTCCTCAGCCTTTTCCAAAACCAGCTTGACAATCTAGCATCTCCCTTTCCATGTAGAGCTCTAATCTGCATATTCTATTAAGAGTCCTGCCTTTGCTGACCTCTTCCAAACTGCTGGCCATGATATCACTCTCCAGATTTGCTGGCATCGTTTGTTTAGAACTTTATGGAATCTCATTCTGTTTCTTGCCATATTTCTGTAAATAATCCATCAATTCCTATAGCCTTCCAACTTGGTAATGGCAGGAGTGCTGATCTAATTTCATCTTCTAGTAGAGATTCTTGTAAATAGAGAATAACTTCTAAGGCAGAGATTTTCAAACTTTTTTAGGCCATGAAACATGTAAAAAAATTTTGACCGGCAACACCTGATATAAAATTAGCTGTGATGAGTGAACTGAGTGTATCTTGCTTGCATGTTCTGTTAATTTCAGATTGAATCTTACCATAAAACTCATCAACCTCTTCTTCTGCATCAATGTTGGAACATAAATTTGGATTATAGTCATGTTAAATGTTCTCCATGAAGTCTAATTTATATTATTTTGTCAGTGACTGCATTGTACCCAAGTACTGTCTTTGCTATAACCTTGCTGACTATGAAAACAATGCCATTCCTTCGTTATTTTTTGTGTCTTGAGTAGTAAACAGTAATGATCTTCTGACTGAAAGTGTCCACTTATACTCCACTTCAAGTTGCTGATGCCTAAGATGTCAATACCTACTTGATTCATTTCCCCTTTCACTATCCTGAGCTTTCCTATGTTCATACTTCTACATTCCATGTTCCCACAGTAATTGTCTTTGCAGCTTCAGATGTTCTTTTACTGCACAAAAACATCAGCAGCTAGGCATCCTGAAGGCTTAATTAAGCCATGTTATAATCACTGTTGGTACTTCAAAAGACCTGCAGCTCTTCCTCAGTAGTAAATTGAGTGCCATCCAACCTCAGGGGCGCACCATCTGGCATTATATCATCACTTTAACTTGTCCATCCACATGGTTTTCCTGGTAAAATACAGAAATTGTTTACCATTGCCTTCTCCCATGCAGTATAAAATGATGCCTTTGCTCTTGCCTCTAAAATGATCATCTGCCTCCAGCATCTTCCCCTATTGCTGCTGCCCAAAACTGAGCCTACTTGTTTTAGCTGAGTAGCTGGGACGACCTTCACTCCTTTAGTGATTCTGTTGGGAGTATATACTCTTGCTGTATATTCCCGGCATTCTTCACTCATCTTTCTCAGAAAAAGGCTCTCCACCACCAACACAATGAGGCAGCATAGCAGGACTTGAGGGGGACACACAAATCAGTTAGAAGTAAATCCACTGAATACAATGGATATTACTTTTAAGTAAGGAAATGTTGAATACACTTTCATTGAGTAGTATAAGTTAGCATTGTAAGTCCAAGGTCTAAAATTTACTAACTATACAACTGGGTAATCATGAAGTTTAAACAATTAGTAATTCCACAAAGGTAAGCAAATATATTGGAGAAGCTTCGCCACTCCACTTGATTTTCACGCTGGTTGCAAAGGAAATAAAATCTCTTCTTCCACAAGTAGAATAAAAACAAGATAGGCTTGAAGAAGAATAAATGGTCCCTCCTGTACCAGAACTGTTTTCTAAAATAAAGTCAAAGCCACCTCTTCGTGGCTAAGTGGACATGTTCATATAATTTTCTTGCCAAGAAAAGAGAAGTGGTTTATCACTGCCTTTTTCAAGAATTTTAATTTCCCAGTCTAATCTAGTCCTAGGATTTCCCTGTGGTCTTCCACTTAAATACTAGTACTCCTTGGGCTTTTAAAATCAGCCACGGTTGGTTAGCTGCTGCCATCTGCCATGTTCCACCTATTTGGCAGAGGAAGGTCGATAAAGACTAGTGGTTTGCATTTCCAAATTAATTTCCAAATTAGCTGTAGTGGAAGAGACTTGTCTTTCTCTGTAGCCAGCCTGGAACTGTAAACAAGGGAGAGATGGGGCGTCCAAGAACATCAATGAATTGAGACAATATAAAGGGAAAAGGGCATGGAGCCAATGTACTCTGAATTACAAAGGTTTTTCCTTTACCTACATTTCCTGCTATAGGAACAATATAAATAATGTTTATTTATAAAATAAAGTACAAAGCTTCCAGATAAAGTTGGACCAATGACTTTGCTATCCATTGTGTGAAGAATCACTTCCTTTTGTTCTAATTAATTTCAAGGAAAGAACATAGATTTGGATATTTTGAGAAAATGAATTGTATTTCTCCTCTGTTAGTTCTGCTATTTACAATTTTATTTTTATCTCCCTCAACCGTATAGTTTTTTTAATTTATTCCAAAAGTCCTAAATTATTACACCTTTTTTCTGATGGAACCCTGGCACTTTTTTTCTTCAACACTTTAATTATATTATGCTCTTTTTGAAACCAAAAATGTGATGTTGTACCAAAACTAAACATATATAATATTAAGCTTCAATGTGATTCAAGCTTAGTCAGAAGTACCTTCTTTTTAATTAAGTGTGGATGATATTGCAGCCTTAGTTACATTTTATCTTTATTTCTTCGTATTTATTATCTAAACATTTTCATTGCCATGCAGTCACTGTAACTATCAACCATGTTGACATATTCACAGAACTTGCAACCATGGTCACAACATCCCTATCACCAAAGTCATAGCCACTTCAAACCCAATCAGCCACTGTACGGATCTGGTTAGAGTTCCTCAGCCATCACTTCTCACTTATTAACACTGCATTTCATGTGCCTTTCTTTTGCCTGAAGATCCACAAAACTAACTCAACTTAGGCAGCTGAACCCTGAGAAGGTGGAAAACTAAAACAAAAGGCAACTTGGACAATTCTCTTAGCTACTTTTTGCCCAGCATGCAATCCCTGGGTGGCTCAAACATGCCAAAAACTGACCATGGCCAAGCTTTCTTCTTTCTTTCTTCTGGTAGCCAGATTAATTTTGTTGCAGGGGGCAGTAGGGAAGAGCAGTTAAAAGGAACAGCCCAGTCTCAGCCCTAAAGTGTTGCTGAAGTGAGGATCCTTTGGCTGCTTAGTCAGGCCTGCTCAGACTTTCCCACCCAGGGAAAAGGGATTTTCCTTACTGGAATGCCTGGGGAGGATGGGGGGAAACAGTCTGCTCCGAACCAGACCCAGCGCCTCCCTTCTTTCCCAGGGCTCTGATTTGACTGGAGAGGACAGCTGGAAACAAGGGGCCCCAGGCCAGAGTTCAGGGGGTTGTCAGGTCAAGGTGACAGGCTGGCCTGCTTCCCGTGGCCTGCTGGGTTCCCATCCCCGCCTTCAGCGCCTTGCCCGGTGTGCCCTGCCTCGTTAGGAGCTCAGCCCGGGACCTCAGCACCTACTGCGAGGATGCCTAGGCGAGGAGGATCCAGCCCCCTCCTTGTCCCAGAGCTCCGCCTCGGACCGAGAAAATATCCCCAGGCCAAGATCGCTGCAACCCGGGGAAGAAAGCAGCCCTTCTTCCCGCAGCCCCCAGACTAGTCTAGTCCACAAAAGGCTTCGGAAAGAGATCCTGCCTGAGACTCGCTTCCCGCCTATAGCCTGGGGAGTGACACCGAGAACTAGGTCAAGTGAGGCGGAGGGGTCGTGTGGGTGCGTGTCCCGGGGAGTGGAAGACTCTGCCCCTGCCCTCTGCAGAAAGCCGGCGTTCAATGGCCGTCCGCAGGGACGGCAGTAATCGGATTGTTTCGCTGGAGGCTGGGCTGCCTCGGGTCTCTACCGCTTTGCTGCAATTCGGATTACCTGCACCGGAGAGAAAGGAATTGCTGCCGGGGGTGCTAGCACGGCCTTACGTGCCATTGTGCTTTCCAAGATGCTACAAGCAGCCTCACCCCGCTTCTGCCGCTGCCCCTCTTAATCTCCGGCTTTGATCTCTCCTTTCCCCGGGATTGGCTAACAGAGGACAGCGCTTTGGTTAAGGATTGGGCCGGCTGGCGTGTCACTCAGAAAGAGGAGGATGGCTGCTGCAAGCCCCGAAGTCCGCGAGCGCAAAGCGACATTTTTGTGGTCCAGGCTCGCGCTCAGTCGGAGGAGCGTCGCGCGCTCGGCTGGGTGAAAGAGGCACCTTAGGACGTGCACGGCCTTAGGGATTGGGGTTCACTCCCCAGCATTCCCTTCTTGTTCCTCCTTTGGTGGAATTAATCCACCGTCCTGTAGGAAAAGACGATGACTTTACTACCTTTTGGAAATCGTGCACTCTACGTATGTTCAAAGGCACTAAGGTGCGGAACATATATTTACTTAATAAAATAGCTCATGTGGTGGGCGTGGGAAATGCATTTCTGCTCCCCCCCCTCAATTCTGCAAGTGAAAATTGCTTCACAAGAAATTACTACTTCAATAAAGTTCCCAGTTGGGACTACAATTAAAGTCATAAGAAAATGACTCCCCCCCCCCAATATTAGTGCATTTCTGTTGTTAAGCATTAGGAGCCAGTATATGATAGCTATTGCAAAACATGGGATGACTTGATTGTGCTAACTATGGTTGCCTTAACCATAACTTATTAAAATAAACCACAATTAGCTGGGCTCAGATAACACACTGAACCAAAATGCATTCCTTTATGCTTTACACTAAACATCTTGCAACCAGCTTATTTAAAGCCTGCCACCTTCTCTTTTTATGAACTTGCTGAGATCTTGAGCAACCTTGTTTGGTACTGTCCTTCTTTAAACTGGAGGTTACCAAGGTTTTGGTTTTGGAGATGACAGGAAGGAAATGCTTATAGTCCTCTTGGTGATGTCTTGTAAACAAAATATTAATAACTTACATTTAACAATCTACTCTGCTTTTAATTGAATATTTTAGAAGGCTTTTAGTTCCTGGTATTTAAATGTTTTGTTTTATATTTGTGTTTGTTTTCTGTAATGCTGTAAGTCTGCTTGATATAACTGTATAGCTGCAGAGATGTGAGCCCAGAATTTCAAGCAACACCATTTAGAATATTCCAGTTCTTTAAATTCAGCTTGGTTCATATGTCCAAATCATTGCTACCTGTTAGAACCATAAACCATTGACCATAAAAAACGGTAATCCTAGTCCACACATAAGACTAACCAGGATTTAAAACCATGATATCTGATCAAGCCATGGATTGAATCCATGCATATTGTCAAATCATGGTTTGCTTATTTACACTGCTAAATAAACCAGTGAGAGGCTGGGATCACATTTAGCTATAGCTTGCTTAACAATGATTTACTGAAAAAAATGTTGATTTTAGTTTGCTGTGAACCCAGCCAAACAAACTACATAATAGCTTAGGACTGGGATAGATATATGAAAAGGTGACAGCCACTTTTGTACTGTTGCCAAGAAAATTACCGATGAAGTCAACAAGATTCAAGCTCGATTCAAAAGTGACCTCAGTTTTTCCTAATACTTCTTCAGCAGAACTGCCTCCGGTTTCCACGCGGCGTCTCCCTTGTCTCGTTCAATGCGCTGAAAAGGATAATGGCACTTTAGAAGGTGGAGCTTTGACTCACTAGGAACTTTAGTTCGACGGCGTTGTTGGCAGTCGAGCTGAAGCGCTTGCCGCTCTCCCCGGAAGAGTGTCCCCTGTCGAGCATCTGATTTCCACCACCCGAGGAAGACATGCTATTGTCCCTTTACAGGTAAAAGCCGAAAGTTGCTGTCGTGCCCATCCTCGTATCTGAAAGAAAACGTGTATGGCATTTTTTCCCCTTTCGTTCAGTACGAAGTCATTTTTTAATTCCGCGTTAGGAAGGCCCTTGTGTTTGACTTCATTGTACGCTTTGGTCAGTTGTATTGCGTACGTTGCAAATGCTGTGCGAAGACTGGAAAGTTTCCAAAATGTGGATTGAATCTCAGAAAATATTCAAAAAGTTTCCTCTAAACGACTAAAGAGGTGGATTCAGATTAAGTTTATTTAATTTTAGGTCTCATTGTAATAAATAACTTATTTAAAACGTTTTTTAAGTTCCGTGGAAATTAATGAAAACAAAACATAACTAATTTATTGTGGGATAAATCGGTTGCCCTTTAGAATGAGGAAAATACAAGGGAGGAGCTTCCTTTTTCACCTGGTCAAGTCCTGTTCAGCTAGGAGACTCTCTTTTGTTAAGGTATAATGTGATTTATTGGATGTTGTGTGAACATAGCTGTTATGACTCAGAAATACTGGTTTACACTTAGTGTATGGCATAAGCCCTTCTGATTGTTGTTTATACAGCCATCCATGATTAAAGAAATACAGCTTTGTGTGATGAGGGTGAAGATTCTTCACGTGCTCAGTTCAGTGACTTCTTATATGCAGTATGAAGTCATTGTATTTGCAGCTTTATGGCAGAGGCCACAGAGGGCAGCAAAGTTAACCAAAGCTTTATCTCTCATTGGGATTTAGAAGGGACACACAGCTAAGTTTCAGAAGCATTTGCTAGACCTAATCATGCTATAGCTTGAATTTATTTCACCATAATTTATTCTCATAGGATTACAGTATTATGACGTTAAAATGGGAGGGTAAGAAAATCATGTACATCCAATTAAATTCTTTCAAAGAAATATAGGATTAAGTGTAATACAATTCTTGCTCTCTCTGTCTGCTTCTCCCTTCCCACATTCTTATGCTTCCCCCCCCCCATATCAGCTCTTGTACCCCTTCAATTAGCAATCTGGGAGGAAGAAGTTCAGACAATTCACAAAATCTCTGCCTTAATAAATTCACTAATAAATGAGGGCTGGTGTTTTGCTTATTTAGTTTTCAAGGTTCTGTGATCTAATCCCTTTTTCCTGGCATTAAACCTGATTAATGAAACTGTGAATCTTGCCTTTTTGGTCATGTATTCCAGTTTAGGAACTTGCCATTAGTTTTAGAAGATATCAGACACAACAAATGTACATTTTGCATAAGTGTATTGAGAAGCAACAATTGACAGTAACTTCCAATAATGTTATTGCCTATGTGTGAGAACTGTAGTATGTGTATGTGTACAAAATTATTTGAAGAGTGAAGGCGGCTTTAACCTGGTGTACTCTGTGAAGGCAACTTTGTCACCTGAGTGGGGCACACTTTTTAGAAAAACATGGATAAAGATAGAGTTGTAGAAAGGGAAATTCCACATTAACATAACATATGATACTGTAATGGTTCATTTTTCTGTGCAAAGTAAACCTGCAAATTTGAGAAGTTTAATTTCTTTATCTCTCCATCTTTCAGTGTTCTGCCAGGGCAAAATGGCATTTGAATCTGACACTGATGTTCTTCTCTACAAAAATGATGAGATTGGAATATTGTGCAGCGGTGATGTATACTGTTATACCAGACTACTGACAGAGGTCCTGCAATAGTCCTGCAAAGGAGAATCAGTGCTTATATCTAAAAATTGGTATTTTTCTGAAGCAATGAAAGGTTTCAGTAGTGTTTTTTACAGGAAGATTTTATATCTATTTTCTCACCATGGATATTTTGGAATGAATCAAACTGAAGATGCTCTTCTAAATCCCTGCCACAGACTTCTGAGAAATTATTCTTACTGTAAAGCCAGTTTGGTCTCAGCTGTTGATGTGGTCAAGTACTGGCAAGGCGTGTTTGAGGCAAATGATATACCAGAAGCACAAGCATCCTCTCAATATATTGTTTCTCATGTCCTGGGAGCAAAAACAGTTAAGTGCTATGGGTGAAATTAGAGCTACAGTACTCGATCTGTAAAACTACAGATCAACATTAGATGCCAGTGAAATATATATTTCTGTATCTATGCTACACTGTAGTGATTGCCAGTTTTTTTAAGCACAAAACTGGGTGTCCTAATAAAATATGGAGTGTCTGTACCAAGCATCAAAACGGATACTTCAAGATCAATCTTATCTGTCCTTTGGCACATAACAAATATTCCTAAGAGATAAGTAGCACTTTTTGCAGCCATGTTGTTCTGTGAAAGATGTTCACTGTTTTGCAATGGCGTTGGCTTTTTATGTAACCTTTTTTTTAATTAAGTACATCAGATGCATACATGTCCTCATTTGCCATAGATTGTAATGGCTAAACTACTGCTTCCACTTCACAACTAGAAATTAGCTTTAACCACAAGTTGGAGGACATGCTCATACATGAACACCCGTCCCAATATTCCCTTTTGGAGTAAGTTATATTATGCAGAGTGCAGAAAAGGAATACCAGGTGGTTCGATAATGAAATTACAGAAAAGGCATGAGGTAAGAAAAGGAAACAGCTGAAGCTAATCTACACCAATATCATTAACTCCCTACCTTTCTGTCCTTCCACATCATCATCGTTTCCATCATGTCCATATACCATGTTACACATTCCTTCCTCACATTTGTACTTTTCCCAGTGAACTGATAAAGAATAAAAATCTCTTCTGCACATAGCCTGCCAAGCAAACAGCCACAGTGCACTTCCCAAATTTTACTCACTGTCACCAATTCAAGGCTTTCAAGCAGAATTCCACCAAATATCTTTCCAGAAGCATATATTAAAGTAGTCCCTTTGTATTTTGGGCATTCATTCTTGTTATCTTTCCTTTTCTACAGTAAAACAATATCATTCTTCCAATCATGCAGTCTTCATATACATTTATTAAGCAAGCCACACATACAGCACAAAAGCAATCCATACCCATATTTTAACAGTTATACATTCCACACATACAGCGTTATCATTTTCAACATTATTAAAGCATTTATGACTTACTTTTCTTCTACTTTAGACATTAACATTTTTTCTCGGATACTAACCTTTATAGCATTGTCACCAGCTATAAGGCTTTCATAAACAGAGATTTTCACATTAAGTTTTTTTAGTAATTAGAAAAAGTGTAAACTAGGTGATCTGCCTTAATCATACCTGTGCCACATGTAGCTTACCATATTACAAAGTGCAATTTCTTCTTATAAGGTGCTCAGATTTAAAATTGCCTTTACATTTTAAGAAACCAGAAAAATAAATATGATTAGTAATCTTCATTTCCACAGAATCCGGTGAATGTTAGTAAAAATATCCTAACAGCAGTATAATAAAAGAACCAATTACTAAGGATGATACTGACCCTCCTATAAGTGAATGTGTTCAAGCAGAGGCTGAACAGCCATCTTTTAGAGATGCTTTTAAACTGGATCCCTGCATTGAGCAGGAAGTTGGATTTGATGGCTTAAATAATGCTTTCCAGTTCTGTGATTTTATTATTCCCCACTCAATACATTTGCCAGAATTGTTATTTTGTATTAATTATATTGCTTTGCTTCAGAGTATGGGATACTGAACAATGGACTTAAGTTGCAGGAAAGCTTCTGGGTTAGATTTAGGGGAAAAAACTGCTGGAATTTGTGAAATATGACCAAACATTAATTTTAATATTTAATTTGGAAAAGGATTGATGAAAGACAGAAATTAAGGGTGCAGAATTAGGAAAAACAGAAAAGTAGTTACAGTACTCACCTCTTTCCCTTACTATATATGGTTACATCCTATCATTTCTGTGTGTTTATAATTAATTCAGTGAAAGTTAGCTTTCATAAGCTATTCTGGTTAAAGGAAATGATAGAGCAATTTGTTAATGAAGCCATTTACCCAGAGAGACACTGAATTTCCCTTCATTGGATGCTGGACAGACATCAGTCAAATATGCTTTAATTTAGATTCCTGTATTGAGCAGTGGACTGGACTTGACTATTAGCAGGCTAGTAGATGGGAAATCCATCCTCTGTCGGCCTCCACATTGCCAGCTTTGAACTTCTTTTTTGCCAGAGATTACTTAAAAAGGGAATTAGACTTGTATACCACCTTATCTACCATATAAGGTATTACGAGCCTCTTGTATTCAGAAGCAGTATGACACTGAAAGCTAGTTACAGTGCTGGGATTGTTGCTATCCTTTGTTGATGTTAGTTCAGCCTTCGCCACCATGCCCTCAAAATGAAGGATGTCAGCCTTTCAAAGCCGATCAGGTCAGGAAACAGTCAACACTTAAACTACTGGAACTCAGTTGTTATAGGGTACCATAAAATATTTTTGAAAGCCTAACAGAGATTCTATCTCCTTATACTAAAGAGAAGCAAGGTAGGGCAATCTTGAGTCTTTTCCTGCCTCTCTGGGCTAAGCTGATGTTTATGTAATGGTTGCTGAATTCTTCTTCAAGGACATCTCCGTAATTCTTCTGTAGAGGGCGCATCAGCATCTGTGATAAGTCCAGTGTGTCAGGATGACATCCAGTTGTAGAAGATTGAGATGCTTATTGAGAATCAACATGCTGGATTGGATGGATTTAGGCTTCATCCACATTTTTTTTTTTTTAATGCCATTATCTATGGTGGGTAGGTGACTGTTTTACAACAGAATTTGTAGATTTAGTTTAAATTAAAATAACTTTATTATTCAGTTCCAGAGTCTGAATGCCAACAGCATGTCTACTCCCCTTTCGGCAAAGCAGCAAAGACAGATCCAGCAGCTCTGTGCAAAACGACTACGACGGTAGGCACTCTGGCCTTTCCTTTTTATCTGGGAGTTCTTTGTGAACCTGGGAGTAAGTAGAAACTAAAGCAGCCAAATTGCATTAGAATGCCAATGCAACATCAGCTAATTGAAAGTCTTCACTGAGGCCTGTGTCCTGAAATAATGGGAGAACGGAGATACAGGACATCTAGATAATTCCTTTTAAAGAGACAGTGTCAAGTAGCCCAGAAAGGTGGTACCCCCATACTTGATTTAGGAATAAACAATAAAAAATAGTCCAATAATGCAGGTATGAACTATCCCTGCCCCCTTTATGACAAAATTATAGGTTTCCGTTTACCATTTAATTACATCGTTAATAAATCTGTTTGAAATCCATGAAGCCTAACTAAGAACTACATCAGCAGAGAGATGTTAGAGCTAGCAAAGCTAGTATATTTACCAGCTTAAATTACTACTTAAATAAAGGAGTTATTTTGAATGACGTGGGAATCAGGTAAGATACTTCACCCACTCAAAACCAAAATATTTACTGGAAGGTAACTGACTCCTTTACTTCTTTTGGTTTCTTATGAGTTTAAATGAGTGGTATTTCTAGTTGAAAATATCACACAGTTGCATTTTCTACATATCTGAGTTACAGTTAATTTTAGCCATTATTCACTGAAATGGAATACTTTTAAGAAAAGTTGAAAGTTGTTTAGTTCCAAAGTTTGAATTTACTTGCTTGCTTTCTGTCTAATCCTAAATTAACAATAATTTAAATATTCATTTTCTTTTTGGAACAAATAAGTTGCCCATGGTATGAAGTGAGGGTTAACTCGTTCTGCGTTTTGGGGTGTTCCTGATCTATCTCGGACACTGGAATCAGAAGTAGCCTCTGTGACATGACTCAGTTTTCTCAACTTAGACTCATTTATCAGCTACAAATTATTTGAACAGAAATATTCCCCTGGCAATCTCCCCACTTTGATTTATGTTTTATATGTGACTAACCTCCATAGGTCCAAAGCAGAACTGCTGGGTTATTAACTGGGAATAGCCTGTATGTTAGTGACATTTCAAGGGTTTGCTACAGTTTCCAGTTTGTTTCTAGGCAAGGTTCTAATTATTGGCTCTCTCATTTTAAAATCCTACTTAAATTGTGACCAAAGCATCTGTATGTCCTGCCTGAATTCTTAGGTGATTAAGAAAAGATACTCTTCACATACTCCTATTGAATAAAGTCAGGCAGGTGAGTATAAAGTAGAGCTTCCTAGGTCAGGTGCATTACGTACAGCATGCCCTTGTAAGGAACCTAGCATGGCACCAGCATGTCTTTTGAATTAGGTGGAAACATTTCTCCTATGCATTTTAGAAGTGTAGCTGTGTAATTTTAACTTTTAGCAACTTGTTGAAATAACGACATACATACATACCCTTTACCAAATTATTGTTGTATTTCATAATATTTTCTTGACCTTTTATTATTTTATCTGTACCCTATCCTGAGACTTTTTGTTACTAGGCAGATTAAAATATGGTTTTAAACATACAGCTCTGTCCCATTTTAATATTCCGTGTTCTTTTCACATTACAAAAGCTGTCAGAGTGCTGAACTTTCCCCTCAGCCAGAGTACAATAATATCTACTTGGGAAAAGTTCAGAAAAAATGAAGTAGCCTTTCCTAGCATAGTACTCTTATTTGAGCTGTAGGTGATAGGAGTTATAGACCAGGACATCTTGAGGGCACAAGATGTTGGGAGACACTGAAATATAGCAATACCTTTTGAAAATTCAGAATCCATGGGAGCCTTGAACAAGATTTTCAGTGGGAGGAAGTAGCATTTCTGGGATCTCAAAACAGCTTCTTGCCACCCCACATTTGCCTTAGTGCCTTATCTGTATTTCCCTTATTGTCTGGGTACTACAATTTTGGGGTTGACTTAATACCATTTTTACTGTACATCAGAAACATTTGTACTTTGACTTAGCTATTCCTAGAGGTGAGAATTGCAGAGTCCAAGCAACACCCCCTTGAAGCAATGGGTATATTCTCTGTAAGCTTGCATTATATGTTTACTCCAAAGTACATTCATTTGAATTCAATGGCCCCATCTCCCAAGTAAGTATGGATATGATTGCTATCATACAGTGTAAAAACAATCCATGCTAGCTATTGCTGTTTGCTATGTACTGAGCCAGTGTAGTCTTTCTGTGTAATTAATCTTGCCGTTTTCTTGCATAAAAGATTACTGGGTACTATAGAAAACACCTAGAGAAAGACATCTCTTTACCTGATGTGCTGAAAGGAATGAAATATTCTTTGCTCGCTTTATGCAAGTCTGTGAATGGTGTTTGTAGATACATAGTTGTTTGTAGTGGTGTTTGCCTGTAATTGTGTAGTTATTTGTCAATTATACACATAATCCAGACAAGCCAAGATCCTGATCTAGATAAGAATGCCATCGTAGTATTATGTTTAGGCAATTCTAAAGCTTAGGAGATATAGAGAGAATCTTCTGTAAGCACCTAGATAATGCAGTTCCTTTTAAGGATTTGTTTCTACTACTACATTGTTTAGCTACGCATTTATTTATATTTATATACAGATTGCTATCCATTAGCTGTTTTTTTTTAATATTAATATTTTAGACTACTTTTTAGCTGGAAGCTGTTCAATTTGCAGCAATTTAAAAGGACAAGTAAAAATAATCTAAAATAATGAATATAATTTGGTTAATAATTTAAAAACTAGGTAAAGGAATAGTAAAGTCTATCTTCAGAATGGTACATGCAGTCCACCTTCCTTTACTTAAGCTCTCATACCTGATAGCTAAACTGAGCTGGTTCTGATCAATACTTGGATGGGGGATTATCTGGGAAGTCTAGGGCTGAGAAATAAAAAAGAATCCTAGAAAGCCACTTCTGTATCATGCCAAGAAAACTGCATGGATGTGTTTAGGCAACATATCAGGAGTCACGTTTGACTAAAAGCAACTCATTTTTTTAAATACAGGCAGGCTAAAGTGTAAAATGTGGAGTACAACATAAAATGAATGAATTTACAATTCATTTCAGTACAAGATGATCTGTAGTTAATGGCTATATCCAACTTGTCACATTGTTGAAGATACAGATTTAGCATTACAAGGAACGGAGTACAGTATATATTTATCACTATTGGGGCACTATTATTGCTCATATGAAGAAAGCATCTGGCATGACCTGTACCACCTTAAGCCCCCAGGTCTTGTTTAAGAATATAGCTACCCTGCTGGTGGTGGTCACTCCTTGAAACTATACCTTCTCTGGAATGGTCCAAAATATTCTCTATTTCAGATTTCTCTACACATGTCTCTTAGAAACATATACTTGTATACATTTTAGGAATTCTGTACATCCTGCTGTACTACAAACTGGAAAAGCCCCTTTTGCCCATTCAAATTCTCAAAGTTCAACTGTTTTTTTTCCCATTTGCTATTCTAAATAGCCTATTCCCTTGTTATGTGAAGTAGCTTAAGACAAATTTATTCAGATCCCGTTAATTATTTATCCTTTTTAGCTATTTTACACCTCTGCTTTACTCCAGCCCTCCCAGGGAAGGTCTCATTCAAATCTAAAATTGCTAGATATTCCCCCAGAGATTTCCTGTCAACCTTTTATTTCGGGAGGAGGGGAGGAAATTTGTCAAAAATAGAATCCTAGCTGACTATATTTGTATTAAGTGAGGCGTCAGTCTCACAATTGCACTTCATATGTAGACCTTATGTTCTACCTCATTCTTCCTTAGGTTTCCCATGATTTGCTAATCTTGTTTCTTTGCTAATATCTTCCCTTTCAGCACTTTCCTCATCATTTTGGTTGCTTAGATCTTGCTGACTCTTTGGATGTTTAGAATTTTGCCTCATGTTGGAGATGTCTTAACCTTGAATAATTTTGCTGTGGTTTTCTCATTTTTCTCATATAATCTTGAAGGTTATATTCACTTTCAAAATGTAGGAGAGGCTTAACTATGTCTATTCTACAAATGATAGCTCTTTAAAGCTAACTTCTAATTCTTCTTGGAAAAAAATGCTTAATTTTAGTAACTGTTGTCATATCTGTTAACTTCTAGATTAGCACTGGCTGTTATAGCTTTTATCTATAGTTATATATCTATTCCACTTGTTAAAATTAAGTCACCAGGTAGAAGTTCAGCTTTGATTTTGATTTTTTAAAATCTCTGGTAACATTTCTTCACAGTTTTTATAAAACTTCTTTGGTATGATAGATTTCTGCAGAAATATTGTCTAAGACAAAAGTTATAATTGCACGAGCTGTTTTATGCTTATAAAAGAAGCACTGGATTTCCATGATATCCAAAAATCCATGATCCAAAAATCATGATAGATTATGTGTCATCATGATCGATTATGTGTCATCATGATCAATTATGTGTCATCAAGTCTTTTCGACACCTAGCGACCACATAGATAGATTTTCTCCATGACAAGCTATCCTTAACCTGTTCTTTCAAGTCTCCCAACAGTGCACTCATTGCCACTGTAACTGAGCCCATCCACCTTGCTGCTAGCTGTCCTCTTCTTCTCTTTCCTTCCACCTTTCCCAGCATTAGAGCCTTTTCCAGAGAGTTGGGTCTTCAGATAATGTGACCAAACCAAAAACCATGACTTACTAGTAAAAGACTTAAATAACAGTTTTAAAAAATCTTATCTTCAAATTTCTGTCATCCCATTTAGCTAGAATTAGAATGAATGTTAATTTTTGTTGAATCAGTTATAAACTCAAAGGTCTGATTGTGATTGGATATATTCCCTTTCGGAAATTAGATGAATAACTTCTTTACTCTTCCTTTTTTCTCAGTTCTGTGCTTTTAATCTCTGTCTTTCATCAATCTTACTCTAAATTAAGTATTAAAATTCCTATTTAATCTATTATCATGAATTCCATCAATTTTCTTATCTGTGCTCATATTTTATTTATTTCTTTTTTCCTGGAGTTTCTTACATTTTAATGGAGAACACCTTCCTTCTGTATGGATTTGAAATAAGAATTACGTTCTCATGAAAAGGCTGATTTAAAACTCTGCAGGGAGCCTTAAAGTACCATTGCTCCTTCAGCGGAACTAATCGTTCCTGTACCTTTGGATAATACATTCTTAATTCTGTTATGTCATCTGACTAAAAAAAATAAAATTTGTGAAACAAATTTTACAATTCCTAAAGAGTCAGCCATATCAGGAGAGGAGCAATAGCAAGACATTGATCTACTCTGTTGCAGGGTGTTTTTGTTTTTGTTTTTTTTTTTGCTGTTGGGGCATGGGAGGAAGCTCAGAAGTCTCAACATAGCCCATTTTGGTCCTTTCTGATGTTCAGTTTTTGCTAAATGGAAAAGAATTGCCCCAAAGATGGATGAAATGCCAGAAGGGCTTTGAGGTCACCTTCTCCTTACTGAAGTCAAATTCCTCTGAGGGAAAAATCTGAAACATTCCATGACCCCTCAACTGTTTCTGAGGAACCATAAAATTGTGTTGCTAACATGTTCATTTTAATCACTTTGTTTTTAATATTGCTATTATACTTCTACATGCTTATGTTAGAATTATTACATTTTAATACTGAATATTGCCTAGATTATTTTAAAGACACCATAAAATATTTAGAGTAATTTTTATGGTTCTACTTTTACTGTCAGAAGATGTAAGCATTTAAACTTTGTCATTCTTTTTCAGTCATTTTCTAGAATAAGGACAAATAAAAAGATGCAGGAGAATGAATTTAGATACACATCAGATCTATTAAGCAATGCAGAAGCTTTGGTCGTTTAAATTAATCACAATGTCATTCAACATTGAAATCTAGGTGAGAATGTTTTAATTGTTGGGGAAAGTGCAATAACAAAGATGCCATCTATCTGTCATCTATATTTCTTGGAACTGAATGTGCCTGGGAGTTAAACTATATAACTATGTTGGATCTTAAATCCCTTTGTGGGATTCTAAATTAAACCTGCTAAATCCTAACTCTGACTCTGTTTAAAAGAAGAAAAACACAAAGAGAGGAAGAGATGAAGGGGAAAATACATCCCTGTTATGCAGAGTACAGCTATAAACACAGTTCATGCCAAAAATACACACCAGCGTTAGAGAGATTTAAAG